CAGAAAATAATTACTGTCAAGCAAACTTCGATCCTCACCTGGAGCTGGGAGGGATGGGAGGTGACGGAGAGGAAAGGGGGGTTCGATGGAGATGAAGAGAGAAGCGGAAGGTATGCTGCCGGAAGAGCTGGGTGATGCGGTGAGAGGACGATCTGAAGACAGAGTTGAGTTTTGCCGGAGGAAGCTTCACCGAAGAGCTCGGTGACGAAGCCGAAGGAGATGCTGAAGTGGAATCGCATGTCCGCCCTACGCCTCTGCAGTATAGGGGAATCGCATCTCCGCTAGAGCCGGCTTTGATGGGACGGCTTGGGAGAAAAATCGAGGGGCTGGAGAGAAATTGATCTCCTCTAACCTGGATGGCTTACCTGGATGGCTTCGGCTTCGATCTCGCGAGAGAAGGGTGAGAGATCGGAGAGGAAAAGCGAAGCGCACGGCGGGGACGAGATTGATTGAGGGGCTGGAGGTAATACACTCTAACGTAACGCGGAAAGTAGGGGTCGAAGGGCGTTCGCAAATAATGAAGGAACGACGTGAAATGACGTTCAAAGATATGAAATCACTAAGAGATACGTGCGAAACAAACATAAGGGAGGGATTTCCAAAACGCCCACCGCACCCATAAGCTGCCCCAAACGAGGTCTTAATCATGTATTTGCATGTATTATAGAGATGGATGAACGAATAGAAGACAATAAAGAAGCGCTGTTCGATTTCGATAGTTTGCCAGATTATAACAGACAATATCATTCAATTATTCATGCACTTGTTACTACCACAATGAGTAGTATATACTTATTATTAGCCGAGACGAGAAGTTAAAGAAAAAATTATAATCTTGACAGAGATATCCAATGTCAAATATATCTCTTTAGATTATATCTTGGTTCTGATTATGATTGTCTACATATTGCGGGAATGAGAAAAGAACATTTTTTCAAGTTGTGCAATCTACTGTGAACAAGAAGACAACTTATCAATATAATTTATGTGCGCATAGAATAACAAGTTGTTATGTTTACATACACTTGGTCACAGTGTTCGTAATCGAGCATACAATTCAACTTTAAAAAATCAGAAGAAAGTATTAGTTAGTACTTCAACAAATGTCTTATATGTGATGGAGAAATGTGAGATAAAATGATTAAATTCCTATTCCTCCAAACTCTGTATAAAATACAAGCACATTTTAGATTTATGTTACCTTTTAAGGTATATTCACAAAAAACACTTCATGTTATATATATATATATATATATTTGTTTTTTTCTAAAATAATTACGTGACTAGGATTGTGTTGACGCTATAGACAGTACACATTAAGGCTAGAGTACCAAAGAAATATGAATCTTCCTTCAAAGGAAGAAAACCATATCCAAGTGAAAATGTGCTAGCAGTAGTGGACTTCGACTTAAGGTTTACATATGTTTTAGCAGGTTGGAAAGGTTCAGCCCATGATACAACCGTCCTTAGAAATGCATTAGAATGCCCTGATAGTTTACATGTTCCTGAAGGTATATCAATTAGGTTTATATTAAATATCATAAATAGTTATATTTGTTAATAATATAAATTATAATTATTACAGGTAAATACTACTTAGCTGATGGTGATTACTCAACCAAAAAATATTTTATTTCTCCATATCGTGCAACAAGATATCACTTAATAAAGTGTAATGACATTACACCAACAAATTACAACGAGTTATTCAATCTTCGAAACTCATTTCTACGCAAAGTTGTGGAGTGTGCTTTTGGTTCATTGAAGAACCAATTTGTAATTTTAAAGAGCAAGCTATATTTTCCATTAGAAAGCCAAGTTAACATTGTAGTTGTCTTTTGCATATTACATAGCTGGTTGCTCATCGATGGCGTGGATAATTTTATTATCTTAGAAGATGATTGGGTCAAATGAGGTCGTGCTAGAAGAAGATATGAACATGTTTTATATGACTCTCAAGGGTGGCTAGAAAAGAGAAATCAAGTATTTGCTGCCATGTGGAATCACATGAATAATATTAGCCATTAGCTGAAATGTTATTTAACTTTTCTTTTTTGAATTATTATTGTCTCATTTTTGGATTTTGACAGTTTTAAATTTCAAAAAATATTTTCTTTTTTATAAAGAGATTTGTTCGTGTACATTCATTATATGTTTTATTTGCAAGTGACAAACTTTTTTTTTTGAAACAATATATCTAGAATTTATTGTGGCACTTTAAATACTCTTTACATATTTTTAGTTATGTATTTCTAGCATGTTGTTTATTATTGACATAAATTATGGATACACAACAATCAACCACTCTAGCTGCTTCAAAGCACAAGAAAAGAAAAAGTTTCATGTGTAACTTAAAGCCTGAGTGGGTCACCAATTTGTTACAAATTATGGCTGAATATGTTGATTTGAATAGGCAAAAGACCCAAGGTTTTAACGAGTCTGTTTACCGAAGTGCAACACAAAAGCTAAAAGAGAAACTTGGAATTGAAGTTACAGAGGAACAATGTAAGAACTAAATTAGACAGAAAAGAACTTTATGGATTCGTATTTCAGAACTAAAGAAAAAAATTGACATGTCTTCGGATGAAAATAAAAAAAAATATATTTTAATAGGGCGTGATGAAAAAATATTTGTAAAACTAGAGCTATAAATAGACATATATTTATGCTTTCATGTACCACCAAACTTATTTAAGATTATAAAAGTTAGATGTGGAATTACAATTTTGTATATCCAAATTTATACTGCTTTTAATTATCTTTTAGACTTCTAATGTTAAATGTTTACATTACATAATTGCAGGGATTGTGTGAAATTTTTTAGTGCCTTTTTTTAAGAAAGTGTTTGCCAATTATTTTCTTTTCTTTTTTGACTTCACATATTTGTTACATGACAAAGACAAGCCTTAATTTTGCAATTTGCTCCCATAACAATGTTAAAGAGGGAGCAACAATATTTATTATAATTTTCTCAATGAAAAATATCGAGGAGATTACAAATCTAACACATAATGTTGTTGTTCCAATAATTCTTAATGTTCATTTATGTATTATAGCGGCTCAAACTCAATAATCCTAAATGTTTAATTTGAAAGATTATTTATCAAATATGTGTCAAAATTCATGCTTGATGATAAAAATTAATTGATAGCACGCCAACGTGCACATGCATTTTATAACAATTTTTTAAATAAATATAAGAATTAATTTATTTGTTTTTTACTTTACAGAGCATTTTGAATACATTATTTTTTATTTTACTTTACATGCGTATAATCGAACTGAAAAAAATAATTTCCATGTGTTTACAACATAGACAACCAAACAACCTACTATTAAATAAGACACTGCAATTATAATACAATATATTCTCATTTGCTCGGCATTTTTTTAAAGACAAACAAACAATTCTCAAGAGAACCAATTTATTACTGAGCACTCTCTTATTCTTTATCACTTTTCTCTTTAGTTTGCGTTTTATTTCTTCGGTGTGATTCACAACATAGAACCGGATTCAACACCCATATTCTTAAATTTATTTATATTCTCAGTGATTTAGTCATAGCAAGCACAAAATTTTAGGTTTAAAGTTTTTTTATTCTTAGTAGATATTGTATTGGTAAATATGATGAAATGTATGCAATGCTCCATTGGTTGGAATGCAAACTCAAATTATTTTCGTTTTATTTTTTCCATTCAAGGGAAGGAGGTTATTAGCCATAATATTTAAACTTCAATCATATATTCAAAATTAATCATGAATAAAATTTATTAAACTACAATTATTTAGCTCTCGATCAAGGACATCAAATAACTTTGAAATAAAGGATTCAAATAATGACATTTAACTATGATTTTTTAATCAGAACTTTAATTTTCAATCAGAAAAAATGAATGGGTAATGATTTACTAAAAATACATCACTAATTCTTTTTAGTATCATTTTAGATTCAGAAAGCAAAGGATATATACACCGCCTAACTATAGGAACATAGCGTGAGAAATTTGCAGCCACATAAATCACCCGTAGCAGGAGATGTTTAGCGCTGCAATTTAGTCCCACATCTTCTAATTTACTGAATCAGATCCCACCTTTTCATATTTAAAAGGAAATCCAAAGCCTTTGTTCCATACTTACCTGGACAGGGTCTACGGGTGATCAAGAATGCCTGTGGCCTAGATCAATGACCATCATTGCACTTAGATGGGGTGTTGGTCTACCATCTACCTAAATGGTAGAGTGGATGTCATAATTTGTGGTAGTGGGGTTCGCGTTCGCGCGGCCCCTATCAATTCTAATAAAATTTTTTAATTTATTATTATTAAATATAGTTATTTTTAAAATTATAGTAAATTAGTTAAAATTTGACTAAATTACTATAAATGTTATTTCAGTGCTTATCAATGAAATAAACCAAATTTCTTGATAAAAATGTATTTAGCATTTAATAGTTAATATTTTGTATGATATTGAAATTTTGAGTATTATAATAAAAAATTTGAAAATTTAAATGTCTTATATCTAAATACATAGCAATTGTGAGAAATATCTATGTTGTGTTTTGTGATGTCTCATTTAGGCTTTGTTTGGCGTAGCTGCAGCTTTTCAGCTGCAGCTGTGCTGCCCAAGAAAACTGTTGTCAGGAAGCTGATGCGGCAAAACTGACTGCCTGTTTGTTGCAGCTGTTTGAAAAAAATAGTTTAAAACAAAATTATGACAACCACATATTTGATATTCAAAAGCAAGAAAATTATTTCAAAATAGAATAAAAGTTCAGATACACAAATCAGTTAACAGTGAGCAACGAAAGTGCTAAAAATTTTTGTTTGGAATAGTTACATATATGCCACATATTCTTATGTATTTACACATAATCTTACATATATATATATATATATATATATATATTAGAAAGGGAATTGATTTCTGCGAATGATTGAATGAATAAACTATACTTAAGAATATTCTTAAGTATAGTTTATTCATTCAATCTCTCGCAGAACCCCACTTGTTGGTTGGCATCTGCGAGTCAATTGTAAGTCTTCTCGGATCGAGAGTTCGAATTCCCTCTAGATGACTGTGCGCTCTATGGAGGTGCTACTCGAATTCTAGGCACATTAGGGATGACCAGGGCTCGACTAATAGCTGTAGGCCATTCTAACTAGCAGTTCTTAAAAGACCAAACTTTGCACGATCGAAAATGTTCGGCCTGAAGCCCGTTGTTCTCACAGACACCATAGGCATTACAAGCACTGAAGGTGCATCAATTGATTCTTCACTTAGACCAACTAATAAAGAGCATGTAGCCTGCAAGAGGATAAAAGCTGTGGAAACTGAAAAAAATTGATCTTGGTAAATAATTATAGTTCCATTTCTAAAGAAAACACACCTTTGCTTTTGCAAAGAAAGTCCTTGCATTCTCCAAAATTGCAAGTGTGGATGATTTAAATAAACTTGTTTCAGTCTCCTGTGTTAATGTGGATGAACTACCGCTGAGAAAAAAAGCATTTGTGTTACTAAAAGAAGACCATTTTAGACAAAAAAATTTGGCAAAAAAGGAAAAAAAAAAGAACATTTTGATTTGTGTCTGAAACATCTAATATATACTAAAACAAACACAAGAAGAAGAAGAGCAACCACCCGTTTACATCAAGTGCAATACTTTGAGAAGATCAAGAAATTAAAGAATAAGAATCTTTCATTTCGTCACCTTGAAGAACTAGTGAGAATTAAGCAGAATAAAAGCATAGAAATAAGATTGAAAAATCCTCGATTGCCGCCTTTAACATCGTCCGGACGCCAACAAGGTAATGCCTATGAATACAACAAAAGCAGGAGTATGTGAACAAGCTATGAAAATGATAATTGCTGCTCATGGGCAGCCTAGGCATGTTAGATTTGGAAAATAACAAACTAACCAGTCAAAATGACTCCAGGAAAAGCTAGTTTACAAAAGATAAGAAAGATGTCTTAAAAACATAAATTTTGAAATTCCCACTAAATGAACCACTTACAGTGACTTTGCAAATAAAACTGGGCAGGATCCGATTGCACCGGACATAATGACATAGGAAAAGGGCAATATCATGCTCCAATAAGGGTTAAAATCATTCCCATACACTGAGAGAGGCTGCTCCTTTCCTAGAAGTTTCATAAATCATTCTTAGTTAGAATTAAGACCAGAAAAAACCAAACAGAACCTCAATACAACAAACAAACAACACATCACCTGTACATATAGTGATTTATTATTACCACCACAATCAGCATCAGACAAAAAATAAGAAAAACAAGATTGCTATACTTCTATGCTAGTTGCCCTGGAGTGTAAACTGGCAAAAATTAAAGCCATCTGGCAATCTGTTGATAAGTTTATCATTAATAATAGAAATTACATGCAAAATACCTGAATTGTGTATCACTGAAATTATTTTCAGCTTAAAAGAAATAACATTCAATCACTATTTAAAAAAAACCTAAAAGGAGAAGGCTCGGGCAGAGCAGAGGCAATCGGGTTGGGCTTAACAGGAAAGTTTTCGGACTTGTTAAAGGTTCACGAGTTCTGATGAATTCTTTCTAATAGGTACGCATTCGACAGGGGCGAAGTCAGGATTAATCGTAGGCTTCGGTTATCTGCGGTAAAAGAAGAGAGGATGTATGCTGCGGCTATCACAAGTGTAGAAATGGGTGATTAATCGCGCGGCTGCGGCTTAAGAGGCGCCACAAAGAGGAAGACGAGCGAGAATGCTTCGGCCAGGAGTAGACCTTCTCTCAAGGAGCATTGAGGAGTCGATCTTATCTTACGCATTTTCACCCGGAATCAAAGCCACTGTGAGAAGAGTTGAAAACAATCGAAAAAGGGGGCTACGATTACCTGGTTGTCGAGGAAGAAAAGGCGCAGGGCTTCGGTAGAAGACTCGGGAACACCAGGCGGTTTGAGAGCGTTCGCGATGCAAAAGAGCGGGGCAATAGGTAATATTAGCGGGGAACGCGGGGCAGCGAAGTCCATCCCGCAGCCCGCATTCTGCCGACTTCAGAGGTGTGCGGCTGCGAAGTTGAATTTTTATTTGGTACTTGCATCCCACGAACCCTTACATGCGGTACCGAATAAAAATTCGCCACGTGGAATGCGATTCCACGTAGCTTTATAGCTTAAAAATAATTTTTTTGATGTATTCCGACCCGACCCGATACTCCTTTTTGATAAAAAATTAATGCATAAGGCCATTTCCCGATTATAGCCAGGTTTAATTTCGCACTTTAGGGTTTGGAGCTGCCGAAAAAGACTGCTATGCCGACAACGAGAACGACAACCGCAGCCAGATCTGTGTGAGTTTAGCTTCTTGTACAGGATCTGTACAAATCCTCTCTGCTTCTCCATTATGTAGTTTGTTGATCTGTGCGAGTTTTTTACAATCCAGATCTTAGGTATACCGTAGGTTTAATAAGTTTTATTTTTTATTTAGAATTTTTATTGCATTCTTCTGGGTTTATGAGAGGTTAGTTTTATTGGAATTTGTTTCTGTGCTTGTGTTTAACAATCCAGATCTTGGTAGTATTCTCGTGTATTATGATATTTATATGATTTAGGGTTGTGTTGTGCTGTGCAGAGACTTTTTTTGCTGCGGCTTTAAGGTTTTATCGTTGTGTTATTATGGTGTTATTGTCTTTTCGGTATTATCTTAGCAGTATTCCGGTGTTATTTTTTTAACGAAGGATGTTAGTGTTATTATGGGGTTATTGCTGTATTGTTATGGTTTTATTGTTGTGTTATTGTACTATTGAAGAGAGTTTTATTATCATGTGATTATGGTGTCACTATCCTTCCTATTGGTGTTATTGTGGGGTAATGATTTATAGTGTTAACTGGTATTAGCATTGCGGTATTCTCGTGTTAGTTTTATTAACGATTGATGTTGGTGTTATTATTGGGTTATTGTGGTATTATTATGGTTGTATTGTTGTGTTATTGTATCGTTTAAGAGAGTTTTATTGCTGCGGCTTTATGGGTTTATTATCGTGTGATTATGGTGTTATTGTCTTTGCTGTTTTAGTAGACGCACTTATCTTACTATTGGCTTATTTGTTTTTCTATAACTTAAATCATTCAATGCAGGAAAGGAGGAAGATGGGCGAACAAGCAAAGTACTGTTCGTTGAAATGGAGACATGTTGATGGAAAGTTTCCTGATTTCTCGGAGGCAATGAGATGGAGTTATTTTGTGATTCATATAATCTTGATCGATAAACAGTAGAAAAATCAGTCGCATCAATGATCAAAAGTTGATGGAGAGGAAGTTTTAGGCTCTTCGCACATCTAAAGTTGATTGAGTTATATAATCTGATGTCAACGCTGAAGATGTGATTTGTATCAAGTAAGTCGTAATGGGTTTGTTAAATTGTGGGAACAGAAGAAAATGTAATTGTCAGTTTTGATGTTCTGGACTTCTCAAGTCTAATGTGAATGGTGTTCCGTCAGGTGATCCAGTTGGAACACCATTCACATGAGACTTAAGAAGTGCAGAACAACATAACTTGCAATAACATTTTATTCTGTTTCCACATTTTAGCTAACCCGTTACGAATTACTTGATACATATCACATCATCACCATTGTCATAAGATTATATAACTCGGTCAGTTTTAGATGTGCGAAGAGCCTGAAACTTCCTCTCAATCAACCTTTGACCATAGATTGGAATGATTTTTCGACTGCCTATCAATTAACAATAAAAGCTACATGCCAATGCCCTGGCCCTCGCTTCGCCGCATACTATGTATTATACGGTGGTTATTGTTATATGCATCGTTATGCTTATTTGACATGTTGTAATATTGTGGTATTATTAGTGATTTATTGGAGTATTATTTATCTATTATTTCTTATGTAGTATATTGTGGTATACACATATATATATATAGTTGTATTGTGGTATTATTCGAGTCTTATTATGGTGGTATTAATGAGATTACTTCCGACGTAAACTTTTTGGTGCCCTACAGTGTTACCGTGGTTTTAATGTTGTCATATTATGTTTTAATTTAGTGGAGTATCAGTATGGTTTTATTATGGTAACATCTGAGGGTTTTTTGAAATTTTATTAATTTTATATCACGTGGTACCCGACTGTACTCCCGCCCGATAGTTACCTAATTAATTAAAAGAACAGAATTCGAAACGTCTATCGAAAAAGAACTCCGGAGCAAAACCGATAGACGCACGACCACTTTTGCCATTCGCCATTTGTTTAGGGTTTCGAGTCTTCGTTCGTTCTCCGGTCGAAGTACTTTCCTCAGTTCACCGCTAGAGTACAGTTGATCAAGATGGAAGCCGAGCCTTCTGAGATGGAAATCCAAGAGAACTCTATGACTGTGGAAGCCGAAGAACCATTGACAATGGAAACCGAAGATGAGCCGTCAAGAATGGAGGCAAAGAAAAAAACCAATGACCGTAAGAAGAAAGTTATTGAAGAGGGTTCCTCCAAGTAATATTTTATTTTCTTGGTCGTTTTTTCTTTGAAAGGATTAGCAACATTACGTGATATTACGAGAACATATCCTAATTAAAATGCATTTTTTCTTCCAAATAATACAATGGTAAAATGCAATTAATACCGTAAGATGGATGAAACCGTAATAATTTTATGGTTCCTCCAGGTAATAGTGATTATTACGGTGATAAAATGCAATTCTTTTAAATGAAATGCAGTTCCTTTAATAAAAATACAGTTCTCATATACAAAACTTGATTAATACTAAATAATAAAGTCAAATAAAACCGTAATAATGTCATAAATTACGAGGTAAACAACAAATATTGTAATATAATCAAAATATAACCATAATAATATTATAATAGTACAAGAATAATACCTTCAAAATATAACATTAATAATATCATAATAATATCGTAATAATACCGTCGTGCTACGTGAATAATACCACCGAGATATAACCACAATAATATCGTAATAATGTCATAATAACACGACCACACCCGAATAACACCTGAATAATGACATTAAAATGACACTGAAATAACAGCTGATATTTGTTGCATTGTATTATTTTTATAGGTTTGTGAACCCAAGATCAATGAGCTGTATATGCAGGCCATCTGTAGTGAGAGATGCGTTGGATAAGGTCAGACATTCAATATCTGAGGACACGAGAAATGAGCTTAAAGCAATGAATGTTGAACAGTTCTTGGAGCTCCCTCCTTATCCTCAAGAGAATGTCTTGACACTTCAAATTTTGCAATGTTGGCAACACGATAAAATGATTTTCAAAATTAGAGGGAAAGAACTACGACTGTTGCCCGATGAAGTTGTCCTGCTAATTGACATGTCAAATAGAGGCGCAGTGCCAAAGTTGAGTAAATGTCCATCATGTGGCGTGGATGCCTAACAGATAAGGAACAATCTCTTTAACTTCGTAAAAGGGGGGTTTACTATCCATTTTGCTAAATTGTTTATAAAATTTTTGTTATC